GGTACCTCACGTAGCAGGCGTCTTTGTGTACTCTGATTGGCTATCTTTTTGAGCGTCGCAGGGCCAATGTCGTGTAAATCTAACTTCATCCCTCGCTCGGTATGCCAACAGTCCCACGCCAGAGCCTTCCATCCAAGCCTCTTGAGGGTGAGCACCACTGCACCAGCTGGCCCTCGTACGCTCCTCCAGGTACGACAGTTGTTCTGCGCCTGCATAAAGGCCAAGGCCATCGCTCGTTGCTTTACCCACTGTCCGTGCAATGCTCTGAGCCAATACACCACAGGATACTCATCCGCCGCAAAGGTAGGATCAGCTCGGGGGCAATGCGAAAGTTGAAACTCCATGGTTCTGCACCCACCACGTTCTGGACCAAACAAGGCATGACCAGCTATGCCCCTAACTTGTTTCAATTGTGTATCTGACATGCCTTTCACCTTGACCGTGTAGGTAACTGAAGCCCAGCATCCTCCTCTGAAAAGGCGTCCCATCTGCCGTCCACCCATGGCCAAACTTCTGTAACGAGAAATTCTGTTTGCTGTGGCGAGCACCCGAGCATGCTGTACTTCTCCTCCTGATCCTTGTCGTAGGGTCCGATCATGACCGAGCTGGCGTACTTTGCGGTGCCTCCGAAATTTATGCTGCTTCAGCGCCGCCTCGATCTGCTGCTCTAACTCCGTGCTAGTCGCTATTGCGTGCCCTTTGCTCGGGCTGAGTTCAAGCCCCAGCTTCACCAACTCCTTACACAGCATACGGGCGGCTGGTATGATGATCTTGAGAACTTGTTCGTGAGCGCCCGTAGCTTGCAAGCTCCCATCATCCACCACTTGCGTTAGACTGAGTGACGGCCACAACTTGTATACCTGTTCGTGAGCACCTAGAGTGAAAAACATCATCATCGTAGTCGCGAACCCACATCCCGCTATGACTCCGTGATTTGTTACCATACTTGATCATACGCCCACCAGCGTACGACTTGAGTAGCAGCGCCAATCTTGACCTCTTGAAACCATGTCGGCAGCCAACGTCCCATAGGGTCGCATGGGGAATATGTCCAAAAGCTTTCTTGAGATCAAGCATGACAGTTGCTGTGTGCCTTTTGAGAGCTAGCCCAGCTTCAGCCAGAAGTGGTTGCGACCATACCGCCTGCTCGGAACTACGCCCTGCAACAGCATAGTGGTAGTCCTTGACATCCTTAGCGAGCCATTCTTGCTGGTCGGCGTTGTGGCACGTGTTGTATACGCGCAGAAGGTCAGGTAGCAGCCCAATGAGCCTATGTCCGCCCTCAGGTTTTGGTAGTCGTGGGATGATGGTGTAGGTGAGCTGCGGTGGCAACTCCCCTATGGTCTCGGCCTTGTGCATGAGCTGTGCGAAGGCTGTGAGCGCGCTGTCTGAAAGCAGGGCGACATTCCTCGGGCCTAGGTTGTCAATGCCTGACGCCGTGTTCGCCTTAAATGAAGTGGCCACTTTCCTGATGATCGCAGTATCTAACATCTTAACCTCCTCCTCATGTGCCTGTAATCGTAACCCCTCTCCAAAACTTCGCTCTCCCTGTTGATATCTCCAAACCTGCTTCCACTCTTCCATGTCTGACTGCAAGCGCAGGGCATGAGACCTCGCACCTTGCGTGGTATGTATGTCAGCCTGTGTCCAGATGGCGGGTAGCTTAGACCATCTGTGGGCCTGCTTGCCGCCGTTCTCAATCACATCCGCAATCAACTTGCGCCACTGCTTCACACGGTTATTGGCAAACTTTATCTCCAGAGTAGTAGCTTCCTTCGCCGCAGTCCAGCTCGCTTCTCGCAACCACTCATCATCCCAACTGAATTCGTTATCATACCTGTAACACCATATATCCCAAGCCTCGCCCATGTCCAGCCTCTTGCTCTTGAGGTTCTGTATGGTGTTGAACCTGTCTTGAATGAATTTGCAGTCTGTGGGCCAACTCCGCTTGCGTGCATGCATGAGATCAACCATGACCATTGAAGCACGCCTCCACTGTCTGGACCTTGGATCTCCTGGCGGTGAGTGACCTGGCGCTTTGCGGACCACAGCCACCATCTTGAATTCGGGCTCAGTGAACTGTGCCCTACCCCTGCAAGCTCGTCCATGTCGATCCTCTAGTTGAAAACGCCGAACAAGTTCTTGGTCAGCCAAAGCATGCCATTGCGAGAAGCACCAATGTAGGTCTTCTCGATCTTTGGCATATTCACATTCTCGCTGAACTTGCTGATATGATGGCGGCGGGGGTGCTGCACCTAGCGGGCATACCTTGAGTAACTTCTTTGGAACCTTGAGCTGTTGTACAAGCGCAGCACCTGGGCCCACACGAAGAGAGAGTCGGACACCCCAATGCGTGGCTATCGACAGCCCCTCAATCCTGGACACATCCATAATGAGCCCTTTGAAATGCTGGCGAACCACAAAGTAGTCAAGCACACGTCCTTCTCCACTTGCACATGTCCATTGCGTAGGAGCTGCTATCGTCGCTGGCACCTGCGTAAGAATGTTAAGGTCGGAGAGCTCTTGAGGAGTCATATTCCAGTCTCCACCTATGATGAACGGCCTGCCAAGCCTCTGTAGCTGCTCCATCACCAGCATGATGATCCGTTTGTTCTCATCTTCATAATCACGCACCTTGTGCCCTGAAATCAAATATATGGACGCAAGAACGAAACCACCTGGCAGCATACCATCAGCCCATCGCATAGCCCATCTCCACTGCGGTGCGCATACTCCCCCAAGATCGGGCGGCACCGCCGACGCAATATCTTGTCTGACTCCAACCGCAACTCCAGAGCTGGCGGCATGTCCTTCACCCTTGTGAGCAGGCGGCATGTGGCAATTCCAACCTTGATGCAATAGACGTAGCTGTGCGTCTCCTGTATTTCCTTTGAGAATCTTGTGCTCCTGAAGCAGAATGCCATCAATGTTGGGAAACATCTCCGTGATCTCTGTCGCTACAAAGGCCATCTTGACCGCTTCCTTCTGCGCCGCAGTGATATTCACCGTGACAAAACTCCAGTCTCTCTCATGTAGCAATTGCGTCGACCCTGCACCATCAACATCAAGCTCCCCTGTGCCATCTGACCGCTCTCGTAGCCGTTGTGCAGTGGTGCCTCCCCTGCACTCCCCAGCAGGAGCTGGCCTCCCGTCGAAGGCCCCACTGGGCGAAACTCCTCCTGCCTGGGCCTCGACCACCTGCCCATCAGCAGCTAGACCAGGAAGTTCAGCTCCACCGCTGTCGCGTAATCGTCGTCCCTGGGTGGTAGGGCCTCCTCTGCACTCCCCTGCGAGGGCTGACCTCCCGTCGGAGGACCCGCAGGGCGGATCGCCTCTGAGCTGGGCCTCGACCACCTGCCCGTCGGCAGCCAGCTCAGAGGGTTCAGCCCTACCACCAATACTAGAGACAACTCCAGTTCCCAAAGTCACTACCATGGGTACGTGCACCTGATCCGAATCGTGAACCATCCGTCCGTGTCCCACTGCGTCACCTTTACGACCAAAACCATCGTGTACGCCCAGAAGACCTTGCTCCAAGCCCTCCAAAATCCGCTTCACACTGCTCCGTATAAGCCCAAGTAAGTTATCTTTTCGCCCCCAGCCAACTTGACCATGTCTCACAGCCTCACAACTGACCGTCTTGACCATGTTCTGCAGCTGGGGGCTGGGTTTTGCGCCGCTTTGCCACAGCGGCAATGTTGACTGCGACCATTGCCTCGAGCATGCGGCTTCTTGCTGCCTTGATTCTTCTACTCTCCTCATCTGAGTCGACCCCATCCAACTTGAGTCCTGCATGCTCGAAGACTTCTTCGTAGTCAGCTTCGTCAGGTACAGGGATGTCTGCAGCCATATCAACATCATCATCAACGTGCACAGGCTGATGGGGAACTTTCTCTTGATGCTGCTGCTGCTGCTGCTGCTCTCTCTCGGCCAGCTGCTTCTCGAGCAGCTCAAGCGCTTGCTGCAGAGCTTTGAGAGGCCCAGCGAGCTCGTCAGGCATCTCAGGCTTGCCCAACCGCTTCTGAAGACTGGCCACCTGTCCACAGAGGGCAATAGCGGGATGCGCGGCCTGGGCGTGACCTCCATCAGCGGCTTCTCGCATGAAGGCTGCAGCCTGCGCATCTTTGATCTTCTGCCTCCTGTTCTCGTGGTTGCGCACGATCTCTTGTTCGGCATCTCTGGCTTCCAATGCCGCTTCGAGCTCTGCCTCACGTTCTCGCAGTCGTTCTTTGGCCTTGTCCAACTTCTGAGTGACACTCTGCATGCGCTGCCCGAGCTGGAACGAAGACATGTTATCGTAGTCGGGCGCCTGGTACACCTCGTCCTCCTTTGGTTCGGCCTGCTGCACAGCTTTGTCCCAGACGTCAACAAGCTGCTTGCAGTCGTCAGGCCAGCTCGAGCGGTCATCGCCATGCGCCTTGGCCATGCTCGCCAGCATGGTCCTCGCTGTGGCAGGATCCGTCTCGATGATCTTGGCGTCGCCTCCAGGGGCTGCAGTGGTGCGAGCCTGAGCATCCGCCTCCGCTTTCTGCTCGCCGCGCCCAAAGCGGGGCGGGCCAGCAGCCCAACGATTCGGCCTCTCTGGCTTTGCTCCTCCATAGCCATATCCCGACCTCCAAGGCCAACTCTGCTGCTGAGCCCTGCGCGGGGCGGCCTGGCCACAGCGGTAGCAGTGCGTCCTGAACCCGTAGTTCTCGAACGCACCACCACGCTGCCGCGCACAGTTGTCGCAAGCCCACGCCTTGCCCATCCGCCGCGGGCACGCCCGCTGGCCTGAGGAGTTCGAGAGAGAAAGGCCCGCACGCGCGAGCCGTTCTGAAGTACGCGCGTGCAAGCACAGGGTCGCCACCTGTGCCAGAACGGCTGGAGGAGGAGGAGGAGGAGGAGGAGGAGGAGGAGGAGGAGGAGGAGGAGGAGGAGCCCCCCCCTAGTCATCACTCCCCTCTTAGCCGCCCCCGAGGCAGGCAGGCGGCAGGTGGCAGGGAGGCGCGCGGCCGGGCCTCGACGTGGCTCTCCGGCGGCCTCGGGGCCTTGCGCGGGCGCTCGCAGGCGGCGCCAGGGGCCCTCCGCGAGGAGACCCCGCTGCGACCGCCACCCAGACGCCCGACGCTCCGTTGCGACCGCCACCGCCGCGCCGCCGCCGCGCCGCCGCCGCCCCGCCGCTGAGAGAGGTCGAAGGAGGGAGCTTGAGAGGGCAGGAAGTTCTCTCCCATCAGATATCACCCCGAAACGCGGAGCCGTTCAGCAAGCGCACCCACGGGAGGAATCGAACAGTGCAAGGCTGCTTCGCAAACGCCCAAGGCCGTTCAGCAAACGCCGATTATAGGATCCGGGTGGGTTTCCTCCCTTGAACTGGCCCAGGAGGGGGAGACAAGGACCTGGAATCGGCGATGCATCGCCAGCAGATCGGCGATAGGCCTACGGTGTAGCAGCCGCACGCTCCCTGGGCGTGGTGGGGCTGGGGCTCCAGGCCGCGATAGGCGACGGCTGGGTGATTGGGGGTCGATGCCCACCCCAGGGACAAATCTCAGTCTCCCCCTGGACGTTGCCCCCCGCGATCCCGCCGCGTCCGCCACCCTTCGGGGGCGCGCAAACTTGGATCAGCGATCCATGGATTTGGCGCGCGGTCGCCAAATCCATGGATCGGGGGAGGTGCCCTTCCCAAAATGCGGCCGGTGCCGCCTCGCTCGGTGGCGGAAGTCCGCGATCTCCCGTGGAAGCGGGACCCGTCGCTGATCAACGCCCCCTTGATTCATGTTTACCATCGCCTGAACCCTTGCCGCCACCTCGGGCACGCCGCGGCTCCGCAGACCCGCCCCCCGCTCCCTGCGTCCGGGCGGGCGGGCTCGGCCCCGCCCGCAAGCCGACAGAGAGCTCATGCGCCGCTCCCCCCTGGGCTAGGTGGAGAAGGTCCGCCGTTCTGGCCAGACCGCGCAGCGCGGGGCGTGCGCGTGATCGGCAGAGGCCAACGCTGACTCCTCTGGCTCCTCGTGAGCGTGCTTCTGCCACTTCTTGGCGTCGTGTGCGGTTCCTTCCCGCGACGGCCTTGTCGAGGGGGGCGGCGCGAGTGAGGAGGTCCAAGGCGAGCCTGTCGATCTAAGGGCGCCCCACAGGGCGCAGCGGCACTTGAGGTGCTGGCGCCGAGGACGCTTGGACTCTTTCGCGCTTGGCGGGCCCCAGCCTCAGATGGGGGTGCTGGATTATGTGGATTGAAGCCGCCCGCCCGCCGTAGGGCATCAAGCGGGAAGCAAATGTTGAGAGACAGGACACTGGTACTGGGCAAGGCTGTGAGGGTGGCCAAGATTGACGGAAGAGGAACCAACAAGGGACAGAGGATGGTGTCTACATTCCACGTTAAACAGGTCATTCGAACATACGTACCCTTGGCAGCGGTATTCATCAGCACGCCATGTTCACTTGACCCAGTCCCGCCGCCTTCATTGACTGTCCACCGTCGTCCTCGCCCACAACAGCCTGAGATAGGAAACGTGCCCATCCAGCGCGTCAACTCTCGAATGGCGACCAGACCTTCACGTTACGATTGATCTCGCAGCGAGATGCTGGCCCGCCAACGTTACTCGTGACTGGATCGTGAATCTCGAATTCGCACTATCTTTGACAAGCCCCCGCTCAGCAATTACATCCACTCTCTCGGCAAAAGGCCGTTTGCTGTCGGATGGCGACGCGTCCCCGTCGCGCTCACTCGGCCCGCCCTCCATCCTCCATCCTCCTCTTCCCTTCCGCCTCCTCAGCGCCCCCCCTTCCCTACAGTGGAGGCCAGTCCACTAGAGAACCTTTCCACAAGAAACCCAACCCTGAGACCCCAGGAGGCCCATGGATGTTTGGCGTGGGAACGTCGCGCTCTCCATGGCAAAACCATCGCAACCCGAGAAACCCAGGGCACCCTGGAGGCAAGCAGGATGTTTCTTGGCATGGGCTCCCACTGTATCCTCCCATCCCGCCCGCCACCGCGCTCGTCCCCAGCAGCTCCGCCGGCGCGCCTGGCTGAGCCTGCCGCGGCGGGAGGGGGGGGCACCAGCAGGCGGGAACAGGCCAACCGAGCGAGCGAGGAGCACGGATTGCGGGGAGCGTGGCGGGCAGAGGGGCCATAGAGCAGCGGAGCAGCAAGGCAGCGGAGCAGCACGAAGAGGTGGCCGACAGGAAGGGTGGACGGGGCGCAGTGCAGGCAGAGTGATTTCGTCACGTGATGCGAAATCTCCTCCCCTCCCCTCCTCTCCCCCCCTCCGCCTCCGCCTCCGCCTCCTCCGCCTCCTCCTCCTCCTCCTCCTCCTCCTCCTCCTCCTCCTCCTCCTCCTCCTCCTCCTCCTCCTCCTCCTCCCCCTCTTCCTCGCTGGGGGGGGGTGGCCTCGGAGGCTCGACGGGCGGCGGAGCGGAGGAGGCGCTGGCGTGCGCGGGGCGAGCGTGGGGCGAGCGCAGGGCGAGCGCGAGGCGAGCGCAGGTGCGGTTTTCTTCTGCTGGGGGCGGGCGGCGGCGCCGCAGAGGGCGGGTCGGGGAGCACGGAGGAGAGCGGGCACGGGGCCTTCTGAGCGCGGACTCGTTGGGCCCGCTCGGCCTCGGAGGCCCTCGGGGGCCTCCTGGGAGATCCTGGGGACCCCCCTGGGGCCAGGGACACGTCGTTGGCAACGGCCGAAGCCCCTCGCGGCTGAGATACCCTGGGCCAGGGACAAGTCATAGGCAACTGCTGCCGGTGGCGGGCCGCGGCGCCGCAGGGGGCAGGTCGGGGAGCTCGGTGGAGCGGGCACGGGGACATGAGCGCAGACTTTGAGGCCCGCCAGGCCTCGCGAGGGGTGCGCTGCGCTGGAGGCCCTCGGGGACCTCCTCCCAGACATGATCGCGTCGTAAAAACATCAGGACGGCCGGTGTTTCGCTATCTTCGGCCCCGGCCCTCGCCGGGCCTCGGGACCGTCAAAAAACGACTCAGGATGCAAAACCCGGTCCCGGGGAAAGGGTCCGGACTTCCGGGGACGCCGTACTGAAAAATCAGGACGTCGCATGTCTGGGCTGGGAAATCCTGGGGACACCCGGGGCCAGGGACACATCATTGGTAACGGCCGAAGCCCCTCGCGAGCGCCATCCTCGCCCGCTTTCCAGGCCGCGCCCCGCCGCAGCGACGAGGAGAGCCCCCGAAAGAACGGCGCGACCTCTTCATCCGTGACGTGAGCATGTAGGGTCATTGGCTGGAGTGGAACAGACGCAGCGGCGCATGCTCTGAAGCACATGAACGAAGAAATGCATGAAAGAACGTTTGGCAAACATCGATGGTGTGGGCGCCTACAACCATGTCAGCCGCGCACAGATGTCTAACCAATTGCTGCAAAGTCCAGGTCGTTTTGTGTTAGCCCTGGATGCCCCACCCTCATGGAGCAACGGGCCTTCATGATGTTGACTCTTGACGCCAGATGTCGGGGAGGAGAGCGCCTCCGAAGTTCCCTGGTGGGGAAGCCTCTGGCAGCCTCTGGAGGACCAGACCTCTCGATCCTGAGAGGCGACTCCTTCTCCTCATCGTCCCCCTCCTCCTGCTCCTCCTCCTCCTCCTCCTCCTCCCTCCCTCCCTCCCTCCCTCCTCGTCCTGCTTCCTCTTCTCCAGAGGGGGGCGCGCGCGCGAGGGAGCGGCCGCCTGCCCGGCGAAGCCCTGCTCGCCTGGACTGCCCGGGCCATCCAGCCTGCGCGGCGGGGGGCGACGGGCAAGCTGGTTGGGATCGCGCCATGTCTGACATCGTGCCTCTCCTACTCACACCCTCCCACTGCCCTGCTGTTCCTCTGCCAGCCGACGCGTTCCAAAGCGGACCTGACGTTCAACAACAAAAAGCATCGTGTCATGCGCAACTGGAAAAGGGGTGCGCACATCGGAGGATAAGGTGGCGGAAGAGCAGGAGGATGAGCGAGAGGATGAGTATGAGGAAGAGAAGGATGAGGAAGGACGATGACAAGGACGAACAGCAGCAGCAGCTGGAATGGAAGAAGCGGGAGGAGCAGAATGACCAGGGGCAGGCGGGTGAGGGGAAGGGGTGGGGCGACAAAGACGAGGAAACATTCCTTTCCAGATAAGTGGCCCGAGCTGAGGCGAAAGCGCCACTCTCAACGATGGGAGCAAAGCGCTTATCCTAAAATGATGCCCACGCTACAGCGGCAGCACCGTTCCTACACCGAAAACGTTCCGATTGAAACAACAACGAAACTATCATATAGTGATATCCCATTCGTCAATAAATACGCGGAAGGCGGCGGGCGACTGACTGCCTGGCAAGCATCCAGGGAGAGATGAGAGTAGCATTCGTAGTGAGTCATTGTCGAGGGAGGAGGAGGAGGAGGAGGAGGAGGAGGAGGAGGAGGAGGAGGAGGAGGAGGAGGAAGAGGAGTAGGGGAAGGACGTGGAGAAGGTGGATTTGCTATGCAATATGGGCGACTGCCCAAGCTCTGTCACGCGTGGGGGAGGAGCGGGGCGAGGAAAAGGGACCGCGCGCCGCGACCCACGAGCGCGCCCTCCCTGACCCGCGCCTGACCCTCACCGTGTCCGCGTCGCGGTCCGCGGAGATGCTCCTCTGGCAGGCGGACCTGCGCGCGGCCGATAATTACGCCCTCGCGCCAGGATCGCGGACATGGCCCCCCCCCACACCCGCCATCCTCCTCGTCACCCATCCTCGGCAACCTCCTCGTCATCGTCATCCGCTACCTCCTCCTCCTCCTCCTCCTCCTCCTCCTCTTCCGCCTCAACCTCGTTTTCTTGTGTCTCTCCTCCTCCTCCTCCTCCTCCTCCTCCTCCTCCTCCTCCTCCTCCTCCTCCTCTTCCTCTTCCTCCTCCTCCCCCGCCTCATCCTCTACCACCTCCAAGGTCTTCGTCCTTCGCCGCAACAGAGCCCGCGTCGAAACCTGCCCCTGGGCCTCCCGTGCAAATCATGCCCCGCCATGGCGACGGGAGTGAAGAAGGAAGAGCGGGAGGCGGAAGAGGGGATGGAGGAGGAGGAGGGGAGAGGAGGGAGTGAGGAGAAATCGAGGGGCGTGGGGGGGGGAGGGCGACAGGCGCGAAGGGAAAAAGGGAAAAGGGAGGAGTGATGAGGGATCCCTAGGCAGCCCGCCGAGGCCCTGTCGGCTCATCCGTATCGCCTTTCCTCAGCCTCCTGGGGTGGTATCGAAGCTCGAAGGATCTTCTTACCGACATTGGCCTCAGGAGGCCACTCTCGGGCCCGGTGGCGGGCGCGAGCGCGGCAGAAGGGTCCCGATCCGCCCACCCGCCCCGCCGCACTGCCGCCGCCTCCTGGTTTTCTTGACGTTCTGCTACGCACCTCCTCCTCGTCCTCCTCGGCCACCACGCCTCCTCCTCCTCCTCCTCCTCCTCCTCCTCCTCCTCCTCCTCCATCTCCTCCTCCTCCTCCTCCTCGTCCTCGTCCTCGTCCTCCGCCTAGTAGCCGGTCTGGCTGGCGGGCGTGGAGGTCTGGGATGATGGGCCTCCCGAAAAGATCGGCCTCGCTTGCCGCCGTTGGAAGGGGCTGGAGAGGGGGAGGGCCGCCAGGGGGGGGGGGGGGAGAGGGGGAGGGGCGGGGGGGGAGGGGAAGGGAGCAGGGGGGGAAAAAAGGGGAGGGGGGGAGAGAAGCAGAGGGGGAGGGGAAAAAGAAGGGAAGGAACCTTCGCCCCTCGCCCGGTGCAGAGTTTACCCACACCGACTCGAGGGGCAGCGCCCCTAAGCTGAAGCAGGAATGGGACTACCGGCGAGAGCCGGAGCCAACGCCCGACATGGAAGCAGAGATGTAGAACCACGAGCTGTGCCCAAATGGATCCAGAAAGCACACCGCACCGCGCGCGATACGAGCCTCGAGAGCCAGTCTCCGCCGTACGCATCTCAGACCTTTCCGTCGGACCGTACACGCGTGGTAGCCCTGAAGCCCGAGGACAACGTATGACCGAGGAGGCAACTACCCCTCATGACCATGGCTGGAGCCACCGCCAGAAGGAACAGCGACCTCTGCGCAACAATCGGGGATCTTCTGACCTGGGTCGATCCAGACCCGGGTCAGCAGGAAATCCAAAAACTGCAATGCAGGGAAAACAACTGCAACGCAAATCTTCGCAAACCCCAGTCAGCCAATATGCGCGGCCGCCTCGCGGCCACGAGCGGCTCGCTAACCCGGGTCAGCCAAAAGGGGTCTTCGCAGGATCCTGCAGGATCCGGTGCCCTGGCTGACCCCCGTGTGCACTGACCCCCGTCTCTCAGGCCCCGAAACAAGACCCAGCAGGCTCGCCGGGGCCAGCGGCATAGCCGGTTCCCCTCATCCCAGTAGCTGCAGCCGAGGAGAGGTCCGGGGACCCAACCGCCTCAACCGCCTGGTGGGGATGGGTGTGTGTGTGTGTGGAAACCCGCCCCCAAACAACCCCACCGAAGACATGGAACTAGCTGACCCGAGACCGCCTCGACCGCCTGGTGGGGATGGGGTGTGTGGGGCCCTGGCCCCAAGCAACTCCCCCGGCGACGCAGAACTAGCTGAGCCGAGGCCGATGCCAAAGACCCACCGCCAGAGACTGTCAGCCAGTCCTCGCCTGACGACCCAGAGGGGGTGCTTCCGAAGGAGCACGGGTTAGCTGGACCCTCATCCATGGCACAAGCCTCCACGCACAACATAGACTACAGAAGAGCCATGGTTGCTCATCCCAAACACACCACTTCTCGAACCAGCGCGAGAGAAAAACACAAGAGGAGGGGAGGGGGGTCCGTTTCCCGCCGACCGCCCGTCCCGGGAGGGATCCCAGGCTCTCTGCGAGGGCCCTCCACCTGGTCGGCCGCCTCCTCCTCCTCCCCCTCCGCCACCACTACCACCTCCTCCTTCACCCCTGGCTCCTCCTCCTCCACCTCCTCCTCCGCCTCCGCCCCGTCGCCCTGCGCGGCCCCCCCCTTCCCCGAGGGCCCCCCGGCCAACCGCAGCGGGAACTTGTTGCGCTCCACGGGGCACTGGGGAAGCCAGTCCAGCATGGCCCTGCGCCGTGGGAGCAAGGGTGGGGCGCGCGCGGCGTACTTACATGCCTGCACCTGACCGTAGCGGTGTCGCCAGCACGCGCGGGCGCTCTCGCGATCGAGGAAGCGTGGGCGAACGAGCGCACGAGGGGACGCGCAAAGCGCGTGAGCAGGCGCGAGCGCGCACCGATGCAGACCCTGGCAGCACAAGCCCGCGGAGAACCGCCGAAGAGCTCCCCTGCGGCGTGACGCCGGGAGGGGGGGAGGGGACGGAGCGGGCAAGGGGCCAGAAGCAGGGGACAGGGAGTGCCTGGCCTGCACGCCGGCGGCGACCCGGCGCCACGGCCCCACGGAGCATCTCCATCGCCTCCGCTCGCATGCTGGGTTGACGTCGGGGGGGCCCAAGGAGGAGGAGGAGGAGGAGGAGAAGGAGCAGGAGGGGGAGGATGGGGATGGGGATGGGGATTAGGATGGGGATGGGGAGGATGGGGAGGATGGGGATGGGGATGGGGATGAGGACGGGGATGGGGATGGGGATGGAGATGGGGAATGGGATGGGGATGGGTATGGGTATGGGTATGGGTATGGGTATGGGTATGGGTATGGGGATGGGGATGGGGATAATGATGATGATGATGACGACGACGACGACGATGATGATGATGATGATGATGATGATGATGATGCTGATGCTGATGCTGATGCTGATGCTGATGCTGATGATGCTGATGCTGATGCTGATGCTGATGCTGATGCTGATGCTGATGCTGATGCTGCTGATGCTGATGCTGATGCTGATGCTGATGCTGATGCTGATGCTGATGCTGCTGATGCTTGTGCTGATGCTGATGCTGATGCTGATGATGATGCTGATGATGCTGATGATACTGATGATGATGCTGCTGATGATGCTAATGCTGATGCTGATGCTGATGATGCTGATGCGGATGATGCTGATGCTGATGCTGACGATGATGCTGATGCTGATGCTGATGATGATACTGATGATGATGATGACGACGATGATGATGATGCTGATGATGATGCTGACGATGATGCTGATGCTGATGCTGATGATGATACTGATGATGATGATGATGATGATGATGATGATGATGATGACAACGATGATGATGATGATGATGATGATGATGATGATGATGATGATGGTGATGATGATGATGATGATGATGATGATGATGATGATGATGATGGTGATGTTGATGATCACTGGTCAGCTTCTAAGAGTTTGCCGCGCGCGCAAGGGGGGCAGGGCGAAGGAAGCCAGTCTCGGAGAAAGGCCGCCCGCGCCTCCGAGGGCGCGGGCGCGAGGCTCGCCCGAGGGGGAACCGCCCCCCCCTGCGCTGAAGCCCTCCCGCCCTCTCCGCGTGCCGCCCGCCCTCGCCACAGCTAGAGGCCTCCCAGATTGGGTCGGGGCTTCGTAAACGGGGGTTTGGCTAAATGGGGGCTTGGGCTTTTCCATATACCCGCGTTTACTGTACCCCCGTCTACGGCGCCCAGGGCCCCCTAAACGGGGGCATAGCCAAACGTGGAAATCGGCGTTCCCCGTACCCCCGTTTGCTGTGCCCCCGTCTCTGGCGCCCTGATAGGGTCGGAGTAGACGGGGTCGGAGGATCGCGGCGCATCGCGGATGCATCGGCGATGCATCGGCGATGCATCGGCGATGCACCAGCGGTGCGCCAGCGATGCATCGGCGGCGTCGGCGATGCATCGGCGACGTCGGCGCGGAGAAGTCGGGCTCCACATCGGGCCGCATCGGCGATGCATCGGCAATGCGGCACGATCCTCCGACTCCATCTGCTCGGACCCCATCTGGGAGGCCTGGACCAATGAACCCCTTTTGCGCTGCCGGTCAACCCCTGAGATCCGACGACGCGAGCATCGTGAGCAAAACATCGCGGCGAGCGCCTTGTACGCCAACCTGCTGCGGAACTCATCGAGCGGGGTCGATCTGTGAGGATCCCAGGGGCCCGAAAACCGGACAAGGCGCCCGGCGCGAACAAAAATGTGACGCCAGGATCTTCTGAAGGGGGCGGGGGGCGGAGCGTGGCAGGCGCTGCCACAAGGGCGCCGCTCCGAACAGCCGAGACCGCTCCGCTCGGAAAAACGCCCAGCACGAACCGGCTCGGTGGCATCCCGAGGAGACGCAAGTCTGCGGGAGTGGCGGGCGGAGGGGGTGAATGTGATTAGGGTGAAGAAGAGTACAGTGCTCAGATCGAATAAGAGCGAGGGGGCGAAGGAAAGAGCGAGAGGGGAGGAAGAAGAAGGGCGGACCGACAGAGCGAGAGCGAGAAAGAAAGAGCGAGAGGCTAGGTGCGCTCGCGCCATATCTGTCATCCTATCCCTCCCTCCCTCCCAGACCTTCCCATTGCACTGATTGCTTCTCCGTCCGCAGAGCGTGCCATGGCGGACCTGGAACTCAAACAAAAACAATCATATCGTGCTATATTGCGAAATCGGAAAAGGAACGATGCGTACATAGGAGGAGGAGGAGGAGGAGGAGGAGGAGGAGTTAGCAAGTGAGCAGGAGGAGGAGGAGAAGGAGGAGGAGGAGGAGGAGGAAGGAGAAGGACGAGGACGATAAGCAGCAGCAGGAACTGGAATGGAAGAAGCGGGAGGAACAGAAGACCACGGGAATACACTGGAAGGAAAATTAGACGGGCGACAACGACGATGAATCACTCCGATCCAGAAAAGTGGCCCGCGCTAGGGCGAGAGCGCCATTCTGAACGAAGGGAGCACAGCGCCGATCCGAAAATGAGGCCCACTCTGCATCGGGAGCACCATTTCAAAACTCCGAGTGACAGTCTGAGTCTAAAAACACATCGGAACAGACATGTTTTGAAACCCCGTTTAACAAAAACGGTACGCGGATAGGGCCGAACATCTTCCGCACAGGGTCAGGGAGACAAGACAACAGTATGCATGGGGTGGTAGTGTAGAGAAGAAGAGCGAGGGAACGAATGAGAGGGGGAAAGAATCGGAGAGGGAGGGGGAGGGAAGCCCGACCCGGGCACGGAGAAAATGAGTGCGATGCCCAACGACAGATGTTGCCCAAAACCGATAGCGGACGCTGTTGGCCAGGAGGCCTTCTGTCTCTTATGGACGCCGTCCGCAGCGACGCCGATAGCGGTCTCTGTTTTTCCCCCTGTGCCGAGGCACCCAAAGGACTGTCAGTCCATTCCTGTGCCCTGCGTGAAGCTGGGCGGCTGGCTGACCTTTCAAGATCAACGCAGTGAACCACCAGCACACCACAGCTTTACGACCATGTGGCGAGCTGTTGATGACTCCAAAAATTACGACAGGTTTGTAGCGACGGGTCTGCACGCGCAGGCGAGCTTCAAACAACTGTGACGGGTTCCCACAAGAGGGGTAGTGGACAACATAGTACATACTGAAAAAGGCAACGCAAACCATAACTGAGAAAAGGGTTTGACCGGGTGCCATCCCGAGCCAGTGCGAAACCTCAGAAGACCTCGGAACCCTGACGCCTGTTCAAATACCAAACAACTTGCGAAGACGAGGGCAATACAGCTAGTGTTTAATGTCGCCCATCAGACAGCCACGGGGCTTGGAGTGAAATCTCGCGCTAGCGCACACACGCCTAGAGAGCGTCCGAAACACAGCCGAGGGGAATGTGCATGCAACAACGAGTAGACATAGGTTCCACACGACGGAAAACTCGGCCCATGTAAGATACTATGACAACTGGGAGCCAGTTTCCCACGCTGCGGAGAAGGGCCAGCACAGGGGGGTCGCCAGAAACATAGTCACGCTTTAGCTTGGACATATACTGCTTCTGAGCGTCCTTGCGCTCGTGCAGGATTGAAAATCTCCAAGAGGATATCCAGCCATGAAACTCACGTACTTTGGAAGCGAGAGAAATCAGGACACTAGCAGTCGTCATGACATCTCTAGATACGCCGCACGAGGGCAGGGTGGCTCATCGCATCTGGCAGCATGCCTGGCACGCGTAGCAGCAGCTAGCTGGGCAACGCGTGGAAGTTCAAGCGGCAGACCGACGCTGGCGATACTCACATTTTATATAGGTATATCGTTGGAGAAAGAGACAAAGAGAGAGAGAGAGAGAGAGAGAGCATTGTTAGGCCCAGCCGTGAGCAACCGACAACGCGCTTTATAGGTGCCAACCAGCAACTCCGACGGAGCATGCACCTCCTGGACACAATAGGGCAGCGAAACGCAGAAAATGGGACATCTAACCATATATTGCGCGAGGAAACAATGGCTCGAGTCCCTGATCTCCCAAGCCCTCTTCCGAAGCTTCATACTGTTCTTATCCAAGAAACAACCCTCAACCCAAGATAACTCAGACCGGCGTGCAATCTCCAGGAGAGAGAAGGGGTCGTCAAGGTCCACTAGATTATCTCCCAGGGGCTCAACAAGCTTGGCATAGAGCACGAACACCTGCCACTTCGGGAAGTTCAAAGCGAGGCCGACGGCGTCTGTCAGACAGACCGAGCATTCGCTTAGAGGACCAACGCCATCGAATAGACATCATAATCAAAAACAGGAGTCAACAGCACACGCCAGCGACACTTCAGTCTGCCCGTGGAGCTACCATTGAAACCAAGCCATAATCGCTTCAACAACTGAGCTAAACGACGGCGTCGAACCTGGATCTCCTTGACGGACCCCTGTTTCAACCGGAAACCCCACCAGCCCTTTAGGACGTAGGTGGTTTAGGGTGTTTCCTCGTCCACCCCGCTCTTCCCCTTGGGGTGGGGGTTTGCCCCTCCCCGTCTGGAGGGGGCGTTTCGCGGGCTGCCGTGGCGTCCGGGACGGCCTCGGCGAGGAAGCCAACATCATTGGTGTTATTTCGGTTTTGGCCCCATTTGGGTTTCTTGGGGGGGCGGCGCCAAATTGAGACCCCCCTTCTTTGATCGATCTCCTCCGAGATGGCCCCAAAAGCGTCCCCACGGCTCCCAGGGGTGCCCCAAGAGGGCCCCAAGAGGTGGCCAGGAGGCCCCAAGAGGCCCCCAA